TATAGAGATCTGACTGTACTAATAATAATATATAAAAAGTAAATTATAAAACTGGTTATTAATTAAACTTACTATATATTTTAATATATATAATGATTTAAATAATTAATATAATGTATATTAAATTGTATAATTGCAAAACTGGTTAAATTTATATTAAATTATATAATTTATTATAATAAATGGTAAACTTTATTAATTACTATGTAAAAATATGTCTAAACCTTTTACAGTTTTATCAGTTTCGTCAGTTTCGCAGTTTCACAATTTTAATTTTTTAATAAAATGTTTCAACTAGTTTCGATTTCAACAATTGTCTAAACTACTTAGTTTCGCCCAGCAACTTTAGTTGTATGCACTATAGCAATATGATAATAAAGATAATAATTTACATACATATAACTATATATTACATTTATTATTTTAATAAATATAATAATATTTAATTTTTGAAAATTTAATCAATATAATATAGGATTTTTAGAAATGATTATAAAAGCTACAAATTTTATTTAATATGATTTTTGAAGATTGTTTGTATAGTATCATAAAGGAAATTTAGAAAGTCAAGTATATTTAAAATATAATAAAATGGTTACAATTTATTGTATTACTTGATAATGACACTTATTATTGTATATACCTTTATTTAATTTATGTTAAGTTCATATATAGATATTTTTTGTAGTAATGTTGCAATTAAAAATAGTTCAGTTTAATATTAAACTAGTTCCTTCCTATTGGTATTTTGAAGAAGACTTTATAGTAGTAAAAATATTTTTAAAAAATTAATTCAACTTATTCAAAATGAAAAACAAGAAACTGAAACTTTTTTGATAATAAATTTTATTCGTAGAAATGATATTTATAATAATTCTGTTAAATATTTGAATTCAAAAAATGAATAATATAAGCATAGTCTTGGGCTTTGTAAAAAAACTTTAAACTTAGCAATTATGTTAAGTATTTGAAAAGTTTTTACAATATTTTATTAAAGCACAAACAAATATTTTAGATGTAACTGCAATCAATTAATATAATAACATATTTAATGAAGCTGAAACTGTTAATATTGCAAATCTACTAATATAAAAAAAAAAGGAAAAACCTGCTAATAAAAGGTATTTATTAGCTATTAAAAACTATTCAAGCAATACAAATAATAATATTTAAGAAAAAACTTCAAATGCAAGAAGAGAAAAAAATAAAAAACAATATCTATATGCAATCATGATATTACAATTTATGAAATTGTTACAAAAAAAATAAAGAAGTATATATTGAGAATAAGAAAAATGTTTAAAAATATACTATAAATAAAATAATAAAATAAAAAGACTTAAATTACAGTAGTAATTTGAGTTCAGCTTCTTTTAGCTACTAGAAATATTAATTGCTGATTAATTTTATTTTAGTTTTATTTTCTAAATCTGCATTAAATTTGAAATCGTAAGATTTATTGTAACTTTAAAATATATAATAAGTAAGATATTATAATATAAATATATAATATTAAATATTTATTTTATATATTAATAGTTCATCAGGAACATTTGCTGGTCAAGTGGGGTATTTTAGAGGTTAATGTTTATGATTACATAAACTTTTTACTATAATTAAATATCGATCTCTATAAGGGTAAATAATAAAAAAAAAATTTTATATATTAAAATTATATAATCATAAAATCACATGATAGGGAAAATATGCATATTCCTTATAATAAAATTTTTTTTATAATATTTATGATTTATTATATACATAAAACTAATTTAACATACTATTAAATTTTATATAATTATATAATTTTGCTCAAATTTTTTAAAAAAATGTAAATTATAATTACAATAAAAAATAAGAGATATTGTTAATAATGTTGCTGCCTGAAACTCATTTAACGATAAAATTCAAAAATCCGAAACTTAAAAACTTTATTTTTAATGAAAAAATTGGTAAATCTAAAACTTTTCTAAATTATAATTAGTTTCAGAAAAGTATAAAAACAGTTTTGACAATTAAGTTTATTATAAAAAATAGTTTCAGATTGAATTTTGACCAAACTAAAATTTTGAAAAAATAGTTTTGGCAAGCATCCTTAATTGTCAAAAATATAAGAAAAATTGGTTATTAGTACTTATAATATTCAAATTAATAAAATCTATATAAAGTGAAATGAATAATAACACAAATAATTTTTTTTTATAAAAAAAAAATATTGATGTAAAATATAAATTTTAAAGGGATGATTTAACGGTGATTTAACCCAGGTTATTTGATTAGGAAGCAAGTTAGCAAAACTCTTATCATATAACTTTATAAAAAAAATCATGTAAAAAAATTTTTAATAAATATATACAGTCAACTCTCTATAAATGCACCCTCTATAAATACACACCCTCTATAAATGCACCTTTTATCTAGTCCCAACTTGGGCCTTAATGCTAAATGCACGGTTTATATATATATATATTCTGTAAATGCATCCTTTATAAAAAAATTTTATATAGTTTACTTATAAAATTTTTGTATTACCTTAATTTTAGATTAATATCATATAGATTTATATGTATTCTATAAATGCACACCCTCTTTAAATGCACTCTTATACCTGGTTCCAAGGGGGGTGTATTTATAGAGAGTTGACTGTATAATTTTAAAAAAGATTTATTATTTAAAGTATTAAAGTTAGTTTGAATATTAATTTTGACTTATTTAATAAATCAGGTTTTTTTTTTAATTTATTTAATATTAAATAATCAGCATAAAATTTACTTTTTTAAAAATCCATATTTTGAATACTTTATGAAATTTTCTATAAATAATATTAAATTATAATATAATCTTTATCAAATTTATTTGTAAAATTTATACAACTGAAAATTATTGAATAAAAGACTATTATGTTTTCAAAATACATTTTACCAAAGAAGTATTTGTATTTTAACAAAATACCATTATACCAATAATTAATTTTTTTAGAATTTTTCTAGCTATCACCGGGGTGATGATCACCGGTGACTGAAATTATGATGATCGACCAGCATTAAAAAAACATAGTGCCGGTAAAAATTGATAATTCTGGCCAACGGTGATGATCACCCCGGTGATTTGAAGTAAAAATCTATTAAGAATAAATATATACATTTATATTTAAATTAAGTTTATTTATTATTTAAGTAAAAAATATAATTTTTAACATTTTAGAATATTGAATGAATAATTTTCCCTTTAAATAAGGAGTACTACTCCCTTTGAGTATAATAAAAAAAATATATATATATTGAATGAATTTATACAAATAATAAATTAAAATAAACAATAAATTAAATAAAAATAAAAATAAAAAAATAAAAATAAAAATTTTGGCAAATATCCCTTTGGTATTTAATAAATATTTCTTTAGTAAATAAAATAGATATTGGTAAAATGGCATTCCAATCAAGTGACTTTTGGCAATATAAATACACAGTGAAATTCGATATAATGGAAACCATCCGTTCCATTAGTAGTCATTATATCGAAGGTAAATTAATTATAGATTATGATAATCCGTTCCAGACCCAATTCCGATATATCAAGACTTTACTTATATTCCGTTATATCAAGGTTCCAGTATATCGAATTTCACTTGTATTACAAGTAAAATTGGAATACAGTAATTTTATATTCTGCAGTAGTATAATAAAAATTACTTTTAAAAATATTTAATAAAATATTTATAAATATTATAATATATTTGAAAAAGAAATTCTAGTTTAAAAATTTTATTATATATAAAGAATTTTTATAATGGATATAATGTTTACATATTTATATAAAAGTTGTATTAAAAACTTCCAGGGTGAATTCTGGTAAATCCTTAAACAAATATAATAAAAATTGGAATAATCAGATATAATATTTAAAAAAGTTAAAGCCAATATATATTATGTTTATATTGCAGCTTTACTTACATTACAAGGTTTTACCGACAATTTCACATGACTTATTGCCGGAGTTATAGCATTATGGAATTTATTGTAGGTGGCATAAAATGTGATGTGACAAATAGGATTTTAAAAGTCCCGTAAAAGAGGGTGCAACAAATATCTTTCATATAATCACGAAAAGTATACATGATAAATATAAGAATTCGTTAGTGGGATGCCGACAAAAAATTCTTTTTTTCTATTCGATCGGCAAAATCAATCAAAATGCAAAAATGCAATTACATATGATTTGCACTTAATTCACAGTTTCTAAATTTATTTTTATCTGGATAGCATAATTATGCCCGATTTTAGTTTAATGACATGGATGCAAAATTATGCGACATTTCAGGAGCAAATAAATAAAATCAGTGCGTCAAGATGATATCATACTCAGCACTATTCACACCTTGTCACACCCTTTTTTTCCTGTTTTTACAAATGTTTGTCATCCATTATACGCCTCAAAAAGTATTATACACTTGAAAAGTGACGTTAAGTAATCGTCTATTACGCGTATAATCTTGCGTAATGTGTTTCAGGATCTATAAATGTGTTCGTCCACGCGTTTATTGATTATTTCGTTATTAATATACAATTTGTAGCCAGCGACTGATTAGATGGATAAAAGTTTACGCGAATGTTCAAGCTTTATTAATTTAAATTTAAAGAAAAATTTTTAGATTTTACGATTAAAGATATGACAAAAATGACTTAAATCCATGATATTCTCAAATGTTGATTTTTTTTTAAAAAAAATTGTGGATTATTGAATAAAGAGTCTTATAACATTTATAGTTTAATTGAATTACCTCATTTCTTCCTTATCGCTGAAATCAGCAAAATTTTTTTTGATAATTCCATAAATATTCATACATATATACTTATATATATAAATTGGATTCTCGCGGGAACCGTGATCATCATCCTGTGTCGTTGTCAATGATTTAGGATGACCATTAGGCTTTCCTTGATATTAACAAGATATCAATTATTTCTATATATATAATTTTTTTGTAAGAACCTTTTCATTGAAGGTCACGCAAGAAATAATAATGTGTAATTAGTGATGTCAATTCGGTTAGTTAAAATTTTTTAAATCGGATAAGATAAACCGATTGAAAAATGAGCAGGATTTTCATTGGTTATACAATCGTTGTTGGCTTTATTACTTATTCTTTGAATTTAGGCAAATATATTCATAATAATAATCGTATCCCAGCCCGATTACATAATTACGTTAATCAAAGGATTTATCGTAAATATATTATTAATCGAAGAACGCTTGATTACAATAACAATTGTTTATTAAAATAATCTATATATGTTATATATATGTTCATATTGTAGTTCTCCTTAATATAGAAAATTCCCGCTCACGATCCGGTTATCGTTATATTAAAAGAAAATAAACCGATACTTTTAATTTTAACAAAATATATACTAGTTATTATATATATATACAGGATATTATATATATATATACATATCCTAAATTTAGGCATATCATTTACAAATAAGGAGTACTTATGATAGCATCAAGCGCACCTTATTTTTATTTTTGTTTATTTATTAAGATATCATTTTTAATATATACTAAATTTAGTTTTAATTAAGGTTATAAATACAAAATGCGTCATGTCATGTACATTAACGCCAATTTCTAAAAAATTTAGTTAAATTATGAAACACAAAAATCCAAGAATAAGGTGGTGAAACTAAGGGTTTTTTTCCGTGAGAATTTAGTTTATACATTGCTCGCAACGTAATATGATAATATGCCTACAAATTATTATTATATTAAAAAAATATGTAAATTATTTTTTTTTTAAAAAAAAAATTTTTAAATAAATGATTTTTTAAATAATAAATTATAAAAAATATTTACCAACAGTAATCATTAAAATCAAAGAAATTAGAGTAATAATGAGAATATTTTTCCAAGAATATTTTGGGACTTCTACTAATGTTTGTTTAGGTGAACTCAATCTTCCTGGTGAATAATCTTCAGTATAAAGTTGTTGAGATTGTTGTTCATGTTGAAATTGTTTTAAATATTGCATTGAATAACGTGAATTTACCGGACGAGCAGTAGGAGGTACTATTATCGTGATAGTACAATTATCATCATCCGTTGGAATTATAGATGAATTGTAATTTTTTTCATCTTTCTTTTCATTAACTTCAGTATTAGAGGGTTTAACCCTTGTCGTGGACTTAAATAGAGTCATTCTATTATTTATTATATTATTTTATGTCTAATTTTTTTTTATTTCCAATAAATATAATAGATAACCTTTTTTTTTTAGAGGACAAAAAAAAGATTCTAGAATATACTGCGTATGGTTAAATTATGTTACATGAGAGTTTTTTTTTTTTACGGTATCAAAAATAAAACAAAGAATCAATTTTTAATAGTCACGTGATGTATATGTAAAAATGTCGCGCGAAATATTAAAACAGGGATGAAAACGAAAAACACGGATATTTTTGTACTCACGTGAAGAGGTATTATGATGTAATTATAGAATATAATTAATTTCCTTAAGTATGATTATGTATCGTCCTATATCAAGTTACCAAAAAAATTATTGTATGATACAAAGATTTAAGATATGATCAAAAAAATGAAATACATTTCCAGTAATTCACAAGTTTCACGAGTTGGTACTTAAATTTCTTAATTTAATGAATCATATAAATCCTATAATTATATCATACATATTTATCATATATTATTAATTTAATGCATTTAATGCGTTTCCCTTAAAAATTTTTTTAATGATTTCGATTTATCAAAAGGAAAGAAAAAGAAATAAGTTTGGCTTTTCAAAATAATAATGTAAAAAATAAAAGGCGTTTTTTTTTTCGAATAATATAAAATAAAAAAAATAATTAAATTTTCCCCGCAATAAATTTAGATTAGTCGATTGTGTTTCCCAATGATCTAAATATACCTTCCCATCATAAGTATTCTTCACATTAGTAAATAATAATCATGTCCATTTTTTATAATGGATTTTTTTTTAAATTTTTTTGCTTTTTAGCAAATAGTTCTAAAATATAGAAAAGAAATAAAGTTATTAATAATTAATTAATTAATATTTCAAAAAATTAAAATAAAAATAATAAAATTTCAAAACCGCATTAAATTTACAATAAAGAATATTTGATAAAAAAATTACTCGATTTTTATATAAATTACGTAAATTCATACATTTGAGCGTGAAGAAATTTTTAAAAGAGTGAATATATGACGAGAAAATGTAGAAAAAGACCATCAAGATATTGTGATAGAGAAAAAAAATTTTCTTTGCTCGTCATATCCTTTAAATATTAAAAAAGAATAATTGTCCATATTTTTTTTTTTTTATTTATTTATTATTATTGTTATTTACGCCGATTACTGGTTGATTATTGTTTCTTTGCCTGGTTTTTTTTTTTATATTGTTCATTGTTTATATTCGGATCGACTTGTCTGTTAATTTAATCTTGATAAATGCGAAAAATTAATCACACAAAACCTTTATTACTTGTTTTCAAAAGGAATTGAGAACCAATTAATGTAAATTATTTTGTCAAACAATATTTTTTCTAAATATAAATAAACTAATNTTTTTTTTTATATTGTTCATTGTTTATATTCGGATCGACTTGTCTGTTAATTTAATCTTGATAAATGCGAAAAATTAATCACACAAAACCTTTATTACTTGTTTTCAAAAGGAATTGAGAACCAATTAATGTAAATTATTTTGTCAAACAATATTTTTTCTAAATATAAATAAACTAATGTGAATTTGTTTAAATAAAAAAAAAAAAATTTTTTTTTTTTTACCATAATTTATCTTTGAATTTTATTCATGGAATAAAGGCGTCAACCCACCTCTAAAACAAGAATTTTTATAAATAAGTGAAACGATTACATGTTATTTATTATTTACATTTATCCCGTGGGGATAATCATACGTTACAAAAAGGTTTTTTTATTCTCATGATATCAAATGTTTATATTTTATTCTTTTTTTTTTATTCTCTGATATTTTAATAATAATGATAAATAATAATAATAAAGTATCCAGAAAATGAAATTATTAAGGTACCCGCCACACATCGGGAAAATGAAAATAAGTCTTGAATCAAATCTTGTTCAAACTTAAAATCTCAACCTTGATTATTTGTTTAGGTTTTCTCAGAAGGGGGGGAGAGAAAAGAAACCAAATAAATATGCTTGGACACCGAAAAATTCCGACTCCAAACAAATAAATTATATTGGAACGTCCTTTATTTTTACCTATATATTTCAAGGAAATAATTATAATAATATTATTAATAATAAATAATGTTATTATTATAGTTATACTAACACGTTTGTTTCGCCGGATTCATATTTCTTTTCATCATATTTTTAAACCTTTAATTAAAAAAAAATATAATTGAATTTTAGGAAAAAAATTTTTTTTTTTTAAAGTTTTTAAAAAGACCAGATCAAAAACTTTATTACAATGTAATAAAAATAACATATTCTTAATTTGTTTGATTTGCGCATACATTGTGCATGCATTAAAAAAACTTTCGTTGTTTTTTAACCTGAATATTTAAAAAAAAAAAAATGGTAACACGTGATTCAGTATTACACAATCGGAATCCGAAAAAAAAATTCTTAATCATCAGAATTGGAATCCAATTTTTAAACAAGATTATAAGCGCAAACATAGATATATAGGATGTAATACAGTGTCACTATGCGTGATATCATTTGATATATACGCGTAATTTTTGTGGTTAAATATTTTAAAATACAGTGGTGTGATATCTTACATATTAACAATTATCCCATATGCATCTTAATATGTGAATTTGTGACAATATCAATCTCAAGATAATCGATAAGTGTCTGCTATTTTTTTAATTATCCGCATCTTTTAAACTATAACCTCATCAATGAGTGAATTCTATTGATAATTTCCTTCGGTTAATTCCGATTGTCACCCAAGGAATTTTAATTTAAAGATAGACACGAAAAAAATGGTTAAAAGGTTTAAAGTGATTTTTTTCGATTAAAAAACACGCTAAACTAAGAATAATGAGGGGGCGTAAAGGAAAGAAGAAATTCATTATCGAATAAAACCTTATTTTTATGTGTGTAACAGACGTTCGAATATGCCATGTTTCAGAATTATTACAAATTAACAAATTAGATGATTTCAATGTTTTTTTTTGTTTAATAAGTGATGCCATAATTCGGGTATACAGTTTATATAATAACATTTTGCCGTTTCACTGATAACATTTATGAATGACTCAAGCCAAAGATTATTTTTTGGCGAAATGGCTTTATCAGCTGTACTCAATACCTTTTTTAATAACGCGCGTAAAAGCAATGTTGTCCATTTTTTGATGTCCGGATATGTCCGCACTTTGCATTGTTTCTTGTGTCACTTGTCCGGATATTGTCCCGTGACAACACTTGACTATGTATCATCTGATTTGATGCGTTTGTCACATATTTGAATAATATGGGATAAATTAGTTAAAATCCGGTTATTGGTCCAGTTTCACATGATGATCAACATGTCAATAAAGAAAGAATCGCGAAAAAGAAAAAGATGAAAATAAATAATTTTTTATTATAACTTTTACAATTAAAAAAAAAAACAAATATTTTCTTATTAAATAGAACAATATTAATAATTGTGATTATATTAATAAATTAAAAATTATTCAAATAAATTAATAAATTACAAAAAAAAAAAAAAAAAAAAAAAAAAATCAAGCTATTATAAAAACAAATAAAAAATTTAAATATATTCCATAAAAGTTTTAAAACACCTCTATTAAATTTTGTTTACCAATAAAGGCCTGTAATAAAGAAATAATAATTAATAATTAATACTTATTAAACGTTATTAAATAATAATAACTTGTATTTTTCGATTGTTTAAACCTTTAAACCTTTTTGCAATCTACAAACTATAAGCCCTTAAAAAACGGTCTAACAGTTCATATTCCATTAAATTTTGTTATAAAATAATAAAATAATATTATTAACTAACATTATTAATTCTTTTCTGAATCCTTCAAACCACTTTAGAACCAGTTTTTACTATTTTATACTTTTGAGAACGTAAAAAAAAAAATAAAAAAATTCAAAAAAATAGATCATCGGGAATTTCATGATTGATAATGGATCAGCCTTGTCACCTGAGTTTTTTTTTGTGGTACAGATTTACAATTATCAGAATGTGTGAATATAATCAAATTTTATGTGACAAAATCATTGTGTGGGAACAATTCAAATTCTCCCAATATCATACTAAATTCTTTTTGGTTAACTCATTTAACTCATTTAAGTCATTTACGCGAGATGCCGCTATTACCGCTTATAAAGAATAAATATTAAATCGAAACGAAAAGAAATGGTTAAAACAAAAAAAAAATACTTTTTGAAATAAGTTAAATGAGAACTAACATGAATGCGCCACTCACGAAATTCATCTACCAGTAATAATTGTGTGGGAACAATCAAATTCTCTCAATATGATACTAATTTCTTTTTGGTTAACTCGTTTACGCGAGATGCCGCTATTCCCACTTATAAAGAATTCTATTATCCAAATATTAATCGAAACGAAAAGAAATGGTTAAAACAAAAAAACATACTTTTTTGAAACAAGTTAAATGAGAATTAACATGAACGCGCCGTTCACGAAAATTTGTTTTTTTCCATCGGACATTAATAATACGAATACACGTAGGTTATTGTGTGTTGATATTATACAGTTACCGTACATGATTTCTTTAAACAATACGCGTAGGTTAAAAGAGTGAGATTACTAATTCAGATAGTTTGGCTTATGTTTCCCCAGTCACTAGCTCCCTTTTATCTTTGCAGTTAAAGAAGCTCATTTATTTTGTTTTCTTTTCTGTATGTGTGGCTGATCAAACATTTCAGTATATATTAAAAAAAACTCGGTCCCGAATTTCGCCGTACGCGTGAATTTTATCAGCTGATCTCTGAATATGTAGTTATTTGTGGGAAATGGAAGAAATGGAAATAATTAAATATTATTTTGTTCAAAGTAACGCAGGAGTATTACTTTTTTTGTCAAAGAAATGAATTTGTAGGGAAAAAAAAACCCTTTTTTTCTAATTTTATAAGACGATTATTAATTTTATTTTTACAAACAATAAAAAAAAATGGGGCAAACTCTATAGGTTACCTGACAAC